CATCGCAAAACAAATTTGGAAATTCTACATTTTCTAGGTATGACTTGACTGTTCAGGAATGTGATACAACTGAGAACCAGTCTGGTAAAAAAAAAAATGTTAGTGAAGGAGAAACAGTCTCCGCGCTTACACGTATATGTGCTTTGTGTAACCGAGCAGAGTTCAAGCCTGGCCAGGTATTAGTAGTCCTTTAATTTTTCGACCTTAATAATATTTTGCAAATGTTAAAACCTCTATCATTAATTCCTTGATAGTGGCTCTAAATTAAAGGCTGATATTCCTGTCCTACGACGTGAATGCACAGGTGACGCTTCTGAAATAGCGCTGTTGAAATACTGTGAAATTACGCTGGGAAATATTTCTAACTACAGGACACGAAATCCAAAAATTGCTGAGATCCCATTTAATTCGACAAACAAATATCAGGTTCTTAAAATTACGTGCCGACTGTCTATTATTTAAATTTTTTAGAGTAACTTTGGTCATTAATTCTTTAGGTCTCCGTTCATGAAGTTGATGATGGTAGTCCGGGTCATTTATTAGTCATGAAAGGTGCTCCAGAACGTATCTTGGAAAGATGCACGACCATGCTTCTGAATGGTAAAGAGGTTGAACTGGATGCTAAACTGAAAGCTAATTTCAACGATGCTTACCTGATGCTGGGAGGTATGGGAGAACGCGTTCTTGGCTTCTGTGACTACAGGCTCGACCCAGAAAAATTCCCGAAAGGTTAATTTTGACAGTTTCCACAGACACTCCTCCAGGTTTTATTCAAAATCTAAACTCATTTTGGATAAAATATCTTGAATGGGTACCAGGGACAGAAGTTTACTTTAGTGGTTGGTAAGTTTCGCGTATTGAAGATATGTCAGAAGTGTCTTTATTGTCAGTTATCTCTAGGCAAATCATATTCCCTAACAGGTGTTCCTCTTTGTTTTTAATATCAAGAACCAGATACTGTTTTTGCATCATGCTTAGTTACATACTTTTATTTTAAATGAGAAGTTTGGAAGGGCAGGTTGTAAAACCAAAAGGTAGGTGCTTCAAACATTCTAGAACTCAGTTATGGGAATAGGTCCAATCAACTCAAACTTAGAAATAAGCTTAAAGGATTCCCGCCGCTAATTCTAGAATAGTCACTCCAGTTCAATTTTGCTGCAGTATAACTAAATAAGTGAAGTTTATCGAGTTGAAAATCAAGTGAAACGATCACAATTTCGCTTTGCGTTTTTGAAGCCTCAGAGAAATGAGTTTTTTCAAAAACTAGCTGACTGATGGTAGAACCATATACTGACAGGTCATAGAAGTTTAAGAAATAGTTAGGAAAGTAATATTAATAACAAAATATATCATTACAACATGAAAGATTATGTGGGTCCTGCCTGTGAGAATCTTCAAGATTAAGAGTTAGAGCATTATATACTGGACCAGCGGATAACTTATTTTGGTCTGTGAGACATGAATTCGCGAGAAGTCTAGAAACTTTGCTGAGACTAGCACTAGAAAAGCTGCTGTTTCTTAATCCAGCAAAGCTTTTGTTGATAAAAGTCGAGAACTAATTTTATTTAGTGTGTGCATGCCAAAATCAAACTGGTGAAGAATGTTTGACCAAATATTACAACTCCGTTTAAAAGTTTTTATCCTTTGGAATAATGTTTTCTGATATCAGGTTTCTTTTTCTTAAACTTAAAAGCAGCGGAGTTGTGTTTCTCTTTGTTGAAATGGATATTTGTTTTAGGATTTGAGTTTAACACCGAAGATGTCAACTTCCCCCTACAAGGTCTTCGTTTTGTGGGCCTTGTCTCAATGATTGACCCCCCTAGAGCAGCGGTACCTGATGCAGTGGCTAAATGTAGATCTGCTGGCATTAAGGTCATCATGGTAAGCACGCAAAGCTTGTTGTGCAACTTACTATAAAAGCTTAACCAGTCTGCAGTTTTCAAAATTAAGATTTTTTGGCATTCTTTGTTGCTAAATAGCTGCTTTTCTAAGGTTACTGGAGATCACCCGATTACAGCGAAGGCTATTGCAAAGTCTGTTGGCATTATATCTGAAGGTACTGAAACAGTTGAAGATATTGCAATTCGCAAAGGCTGTTCCGTAGAAGAGGTTTGTTGCAAAAAAAGGTTGACATTCTCCTTTTACAGGTAATCTTTCAAACTCTGTCATAAATTAAGGTTGATCCGCGAGAAGCAAAAGCAGCTGTTATCCACGGATCGGATTTGCGCGAAATGACGGAAGATCAACTGGCAGAAGTTATTGCTAACCATTCTGAAATCGTTTTCGCTCGAACTTCGCCGCAGCAAAAACTTATGATCGTCGAAGGTTTTCAGCGTCAGGGACAAATCGTAGCAGTTACTGGTAAGTATCACTAGTTAAAATTTGAGTGGTCCTTCCATTTTTATTATTAGAAGTCAGTAAAAAATAAGAAGTATTAAGGTGATGGAGTCAACGACTCGCCTGCACTAAAACGTGCTGACATTGGGGTTGCTATGGGAATTGCGGGCTCTGACGTCTCAAAACAAGTATGTTTTTAAAGATGGAGTTTTCAAAAGGGAATCGCTGATATATACATATTTCCAGGCAGCCGACATGATCCTTCTGGACGATAATTTCGCATCCATTGTGGTAGGAGTGGAGGAAGGTCGTTTGATTTTTGACAACCTTAAGAAGTCCATTGCGTATACTTTAACTTCAAACATCCCCGAGATATCTCCTTTCCTCACCTACATACTGTTTGGTATTCCACTACCCCTTGGTACTGTTACAATTCTTTGCATTGATCTCGGAACAGACATGGTTCCTGCTATTTCACTAGCGTATGAAGAAGCTGAGTCGGACATTATGAAACGTCAACCACGCGACCCTCTCCACGACAAGCTGGTTAATGAAAGGTAGTCGTAAAATGAATATTCTGGTGTAGTTTGAAATCCATATTATTTAAAAAATCCATTAATGTACAAACTTCAATATTCAAGGCTTATTTCGCTAGCATACGGACAAATTGGCATGATTCAAGCCTCGGCCGGTTTCTTTACGTATTTCTTCATCATGGCAGACAATGGCTTCTGGCCAAGGCAGTTGTATCAGCTACGTGAAAAGTGGGATTCGAGAGCTTATAATTCTGTCGAAGATTCTTACGGTCAAGAATGGGTGAGTTATCTTTCACATCCCAGTCCGAATTAGCCATTAAACACATATTTTTGTGTTCAGCTTGGTTTATCTTAAGTTTGTTTGTAACATCGGATCCAAATGCTTTAATTTCAGACTTACGCTAATCGTAAAATTCTCGAGTGTACATGTCAAACTGCCTATTTTGTCTCCATTGTGGTCGTCCAGTGGGCAGATTTGATTATTTCGAAAACCAGAAGGAATTCTTTAGTACAACAAGGCATGAGCAACTGGACGCTGAATTTCGGTCTTGTTTTTGAGACGGCTTTGGCTGCATTTATGTGCTACTGCCCAGGCCTTGACAATGGTCTGCGGATGTATGGACTTCGGTGAGGATAAGTTGTTTGGTTTTCTTTAAGTTTAGAAGATTAGTATCTGATTTTTTTAATCTCAAGTCAGTGATTACGCTCCCTATGATTTTATTCCTCTTGGTTTTTCCAGGTTCTCCTGGTGGTTCCCTGCCCTGCCATTTTCAATCCTCATCTTCGTTTATGACGAAACCCGTCGCTTCTGTATTCGTAGATTCCCTGGTGGATGGGTCGAACGCGAAACATATTATTGACACCTTGTTACTAATCTGAGGCTTTTGCAGCCCCCAGTTCCCCTAGACTGTTCTAATTACGCGTTTAATCTCAGCATCTTTGTCTGATCTAATAATTTAAACGAAGACAAGATACAAATTTAACCCGTCTACAGGGGTGATGAAGGTGCTGATATGAGATCAACTATTATGTGAGTAAGTAATCTCGGTCTTCAGTACTTCAACTGTTTTCTACACCGCTGTATAAATTTTTAAAAAAATCTCTGTGAATATAAATTGACTTTCGAAACCTATGAACCGAAAAGTCACAGGGCTCTCCACGTCAAGTTGTTTTTGAAGTTTGGCACTCATCGTTTTCTGTTGTTCTTCAATGCCACTATTCTTGTAAGCGCAGATAGACCGCGATCATTTGCTGCACTGGTAGCACGGACCTCGCCACCTACCAAACTGCGGCAATGAGAGGAGCGTCAGAAGGAAGCATTTCCTGGTGTAACAGAACCGCGACCAGTAGTCGCCTTTAACTTAAGAATGCTAAAGCAACCTCTGTGGTCCCATGGTTTCCAATGTGTGTACTGACTGTTAGGGTTGACATCCTCCAGACAGTCGTCGTACTCCCGTAGCAACTGCGGGCAAAGCGCATAGTCTAGTCTTTATCTCCGTACCGCTCATGGTCTGAGGGGATCAACCTGTACGGATATTTGCAAACATACTACAGTGTTTAATATTACTAAAAAAAAGAAGGAAAACATTTTATATTCGATGCAAATTGTTCAAGAAAAAATAGAACAAGAGAAATACTTCAAAGGTGCTGGGTTGTTCTTAAAGTTTGACAGATTATGGTTACAGAACATTAAGTGCCCAGTGTGGTCTTCACAGAGTAGCAAGAGAGTAGTAAAGCCAAGTTTGGTAACTGAGCAAACAAGTAATTAAGGATGAAAGGGAATACACGACTTCAGTCTCTGTTGCCCTGAATTTAATACAAGAAATGGTAATGCAAAACGGGTTAGGAGCATTTCAAAAGAAGCTGAAGGATCTTCGGGCAATTTTTTCAACCACTGATGGAATCACTCTCTTCCTACATAGAACTTTTAAGTAAATCTTTATGTCGAAAATAAAATAAAAAGACGATCTCGATACATCGCAGAGGTAAGTCCGTCAATCTCTGAAAATAAAGAAATAAAATACAGAAAAAGCTTTCGAACAATTAAATTTGGGACTCCAGTTACAATCCAAATACACATCATTTCATATCAAAACTTAATATCTGCTCATTCGAGTACCAAATGACTTACCGAGAGCCAAAAAGTGAAAGAATCATCCAGAAGATATAAACAATATCCAAGAAGATCTGAATAGCCGCAAATATGTAGTCTTCGGGAGAAACTTCGTACTTTCGGCCACCCATAACAGTCTAAAAAGCATCAGCGAGAAGACATTTTAGAGAGGTTTCAAAAACGAACCTGAACATCGATAGCCAGATAAAACATGAACAGTAAAGCAGCAGCAGCTGAATACACTGTATAAAGCCACTTGACATGGAAAACTGTCACAGCAATGATCGCAACCAAGCCAAAAACCATCAGAACCAAGGAAAGGATAAATACTATCCCCATTGCACTGAAACAAACCTCATTGTGACTAGACTTTGTAGCGGTGTATTATTTAATCTAGTTACAGTCGGACTGTAAACTGACGTACACTATAAACACACTAAATTCCCTCCCTCAAAGTCTCTCTTGTTACGTTCAATGAAGCTTCGAAGGTTTCAGAAAGTTTTGGTGGAAGAAGTTAGAAAACCATTATTTCCCAAAATAAGTAAAAGAAAACCCATGCATCCTACATGCATAAAATCAAAAGTCCCTTTAAAAAGTGAAAAAAAAAATCAACCTTGTTAAATCATATTTCGTCTGTATTGAGAAGATTATGATACCTCCACAGCAAACGGTTGTTATAATCAAACACATAAGGACCGACTCAACTCTGTGGTAGGAGCAAACCATCATTGTCATGTACCTGTAATGATGTGATTATTATGAGAAAGTATGACGTGTCCCGTTCAAATCTCACTAGCCTACAAAGTTCCAGAACTAACCCAATGGAGAGCGTCAAGATTGCGGTTGCGATAAGGTTGCTCGGAAAAGACCTTCGTACAGACTCACAACACATTAACATAATATAAACTATCAGGAAAACAACATAGCTGGTCAGGTATAGAGCACTCGAACCTCTAACTGTCGTTTGTAGACCTTTGTCAAGGAACGGAATCGCGGTCATGACTGTAACGACGGCAAGCTGAAAAAATAAATGCAAACTTTTCAGTTTTTACGGACAAATAGAAAATTAGTTGTAGATTGACAAAAGTCATGTAAATAGTTATAGCATAAGTAAATTTACCATAATTCCCACGAGGATGAAGACTTTGCGCACAAATGCTGCTCTAATTGACTGGTTATCAAATCCAAAATTCCTTTTGTTTGGATCATCTCCCACGAAGGCATTATTCACGGGCTGCGCTTGCGGAAAGTCTAAAACACATAAAATCTTGTCCCCCACTTAAAAATACTCCACAGTTGAAGACTATGCCCAAGAATTGCAGCAGTAAAAAAGAAAACTAACATCAAGTTCTACTCTTCCCAAAGAACAAAAAAAACCAAACAACACATCTACAGCCCACTTCCTAACGCGATGAACGATTCCTTTTCATCAATACATTGAAAATTTCTTTCGAATACTGGTGCAAATAAAAAAATGAAAAAATCGTCACTAACTCACTAGCTGCCACGACCTATGAAGCTGCATCGGTTTTTAAACAGCCACGAACACTGACCTACTTAAAACTAACCAAAGGTTTTTGATACGTTTCGGAATCCTAGCCGCCACTCATTTCTGAAAATCGGACAACCACAAAACCCAATTCCTAATCTTGTTTTGCAAACTAATAAACGTATAATAGAATAAGACTGAAAGGTGTTCCATACTGGTGCTACATTACTTAGGCAATTGAAAAGTTCTTACGAGATAAGCGTCTTGAAAACTCAATATCATAACGAGGTAAAAAATGTGACTGCTTAGCAAAACTTAACCATGCAGAACTTAACAAGTTACTGTAACAACGAATTATAAATCAAGAAGCTAAACATTTTCTACAGGAATCGATGTATTTCCATTTACGACTGACTTCTTCATCTGATATTCTGGAAACCATTACATTCCGCCCGCTCTCCTCCATACAACAGGGTGGCCATAATTCCTGCTTTTTATCTTCTTTGCCACTTATGCAAACCTCCACGGCCAACTTCCAGCTCCTGAGTCCAAGCAACATGAGTCCAAGCAACTTTTCCCGAAGCAAAAACTAGTAAAAAACTTTTTTTGCTCGAATTTTTTGAACATGTGTTAACTAACATAAACCTATCAACAAGCTCTGACACGTCTGTGAAGCCTTCATCACCCAAAGTATGGTACCCTTCAACCGTTGGAGTTGTTTGGGCTGCTTGGCTGGTAGACTGCAGTACAAACTTCGAAGTATCGGGACTTTAAATTTGTGAATTTCTTACTTAAAAAAACTTGCCTACATTTCTGATTATCAATTAACGATTTAAAAAAATGCCTAAATTAAAATAATATTCTAAAAAAGTAATCCTCACTTCTTTCCAGCTGGCCAAAACCACAGTACTTAAAGAAATTCAACAAACAGATAAAATACAAAAATTCCACCCTCCAAACAATAAATGCTCACCTCCTATGCTGACGCGTACAACATCACTCTACAGAAAAGCGGTACTTTGCATACCAGATTTAAATTTTGGTGCATAAATGCAATTATTCATTAACTTTTGAAATGACGTTTCACGAACAAAAAATCATCAGAACAGAAAAGCAAGGCTGAAAGTTTTTCCTTGTTAAATATAATTCTCTCTTGGAACAATCTGAGGCAAAAACCGAACAGTATTCCGAAACCCTTCTAAATGAAAAACCTAATGATCAATTCATACTTTAGTCCAAATCTGCTGTAAGCGGTTGAACCCTATGCCCTATCTCCCACTGAATCCTCTTCAAATCCGCAAAAGGAAAAACAAAGCTCCTTTTACTACAGCTGTAAACTTTATCAAGTGTTAAATTATTCGTATTGTCTTGAAAAAAGAACTGATCATATTCTTGTGCAAGAATCAGACAATATACAATGTTAAGTAAAACCAGTATTCGGAAATATAGAGATCTGCGCTTTCAAAGGCATCAGAGCCCTTAATAATCCCGTCACTAAACGGGAAACTGCTAAGGCAACTCATGCTGAAAGATTGACAGAGTTTAAAGATCGAACCTCCAGTGTTATGTATGTTCCAGCCTGGCTGATTTCCTCCCAGATTCTGATACGGATTCTGTCCTTGCGGATAATATCCACCCTGCTGTTGATAAGGAGGCTGACCGTATGCTTGTGACATATTTCCTAAGCAAATAAATTATGTGAATTGTTAATTTACCACTGCATGGTCTTCCACTCAAATCGCAAACGGCCTAATGCACGAAACCCAAAAAAAAATCAAATAAACTACAGCCATTTCATCAGCTCTCTGACAATAACCGCTAAGAAACAAGTTAACCGCACCACTGATCAACGGCAGCACATACAACGATTTAATACGTAAAATTATTAATAATCATAAACTTGGCAAAGGAAACCACTTATTCTTTAAAGGAAAATTAATACATCAACGACAGATCTGGTACCGAAACAAAGAAACAATGTAAACAAGTTTAACACTTGCTAGCTTCGTCTGGTGACACAGTGTACCGAGAAAAGCTACTCAGGTGTTTTACGGTGCCTGAAATCTCTGAAGAGCAATCACCTTCCAAAATCACTGCAGAATTCTAAAATAACCGTCAAAGTCACAGCTTACTCTAAAATTTAGACATATATTAACTAATTACTTAACAATGACCACTTATAATTACTACAATAAATCGACAAACCAACACCACAGATACCGAACAATTCTAAAACACCAAGATTTTGGAGTATCAAAACCAAAACAAAATGCTGTTTACGAGTTCTGTTTATCAATCACCAGACGAATATGCCAGAGCAGACTCAGCTTCTAACAAACCAACCTCCCATAAAACTACCACCTACAACAATTTACAACTTCAGACATGACGGTAACTTACTGCTTTTCAAGCAGACTTGTGTTGTAAAATTCTATTCCTCTTCTAAATGACTCAATTTGGAGCTTCCGCAGCAACAATTTCCTCCTCCAATTCTCCTAATTACAGAAAATATTTGAGTACTTTTGAAACTTAGTGCGCGTTTATCAGATGAGGAGCCTCAGAAAATCTGAAGACCAAAGAAAAGCACCCAATTGAAAAAAATAAAGAATGAAGCCTCTGAAAAGGCAGATGTGTGACACCTACGTTCAAAAATGAAACAAGAGCCCTAATCTTCATTACCTGAAACCACGCCACTTACATGTATTTTAAACGTCAGCTGCCTACATATCTTTACCAAACCCTATCAGCCAAATCTTCTATAGTTATACAATTTCATTTTGGCTAAAATTCTTTATCACTATACAACTCTTAAATTTCGAATCTTACTCAACCGACCTCTTACCACCATAAACCATTAAAAAATCCTACTTCACCTTGCGATGCTTTAAAAAAAAAGCAACCATAATACACTGCACCTCCAATCCTGCCATTCAAACGTAGGCGTTTTCATGCAAATAACAGTTTGGTAGGCTTAACACAAAAAAATGAGAACCCATGCCAGTACTTTACAACTGTCTAAAGATTAATCAAACAATAAAAGCTTGAAGTAATTTTATGCATCTTTTTTGTACACAACAAGCTGCAGAAAACCCAAAATTTGGCATTTTGCTATTACTATAGTACCGATTGCCATTCGCTCAGACACTCTAAAATCAACCCAGCCTTACCAAAAACTGAATGTGCTTAAGCGTCAAAAGAAAAAAATCAAAATACGTCCTCAACTAACTCTCTCTTTGAATCCATCTTTCTATCCAGATCTCCTCTATCAAATTCCATTACAAAAATATAAAGAAATCCGCATTTCTTGTTAAGAAACGTTAAAAAAATTACACCATCGCCTTCCATCTCTCATTTTTTTCGCCTGAAAAATGGTATGCTAAAATCTTGCGTAAAAATTCCCGAGTCTAAAAACAAAAAAAACAAAAAAAAAGCAAGAAATACGGGCTGCTAAATCAGAGTAAAATTTTTACGAATAAAGCAGTCATCTTTTAAAATTAGGCTTTAGTTTATTGCTTTATCATTCTCAGCAGCGCTTTCGGCAAAAACACACATCTTTCACTACCTTCAAATACCAATTGTGTTCCAGCAATCCCAGCTTCAGTTGTAGTCAGTTGGGACTTTGAATAACAACTAAAAAAACTTAGTCCAACAAAGAATTTGGATCGTTGTCACTGGCTAAACATCAAAAACAAAACTTATGACACAACAGACTCAGTTCGACTATCGAAACGACAAAAATCGCAAAATAATGGTCCAACACCGAAACGTGAGAAGCTTTAACGCCAGACAACAAGCAGCAACGCCAGCAGCAGCAATAAGTGAAAACTTGCAAACGCGTTTCATGATTGTCTATTTGCCACGGTTTATTATAAACGAATAAGAATTCTACGCTTTGTTGTTTTTCCACGGATTTCGTACGATTACCAACCATAAAATGTTTTGGTTTCAGACCAAGAACAGCTAGCTAGTTCAGTGCAAAAGGCTACCAAAAAAATTGTTTTCCAGAATTATTTTGTACTTTTTCAACCGCTTCATTAAGTACAGCCTTATTAAAACTTGAATCCAACGCATATCAGTTGCTGAGAAAATTAAAAAAGCAAAAAACACTTCATAATCAAATGATACTCTCCTTGACTACCATAAGAAGAGCCCAATCAAAATCCCACTTAGACGCTTCAAAAATGTAAGCCAAATTATGCAAAAAGATTTCTGGAGCTCTGAATGCACTAAACAACCAAATGGTACTCCAGTCTGATTCTACATAAACAAACAAATCAATATTTAGTACCTATTCTAAATCACTCTTCTTGAGTCCATTGAAAAAAGAATCAATTGAAACAACTTAGCAAGAACAAAAATCCAGCATCACTTTTTTACCTCCACGACCTACAGTCATTTAAAAAAAAAGTAATCAGTTTGAAACGACTACCTGATTCCAAAAACTCGTCATAAGTGACAGATATAGATGTCATTTTATAATATCGCAAAGAGATCCTTTCTTTATAACTTCTGACGTTGTCAAAAATCCTTCCTATCAAGCTCCAAATCCGTATTTGCAATGAAAAATATCATTTCAAAAATAGCATCGTCTGCGAATAAATCATCCACAAAAAAAATGTCTCTTAATTTCCTGCCCAATAAAGCAATGGTTGACTGCTCAGCCATTCGGGAAGTTTAACGGAACTGCTTATCCGAATGACGACCAACATATATAACCAAATCACTAATTTCTCAGTTGGGCAAACACATGCTGCAACTGCTGATAGATTTACAAAAAACAATCTATACTCCTCAGAGAACAAAAAGTAAACCTCAAACCTTTACACGCCTTTCCTCGAATAGTCTTCGTAGGCGAAAAATTTCCGGAGAGTCTCCTCCCGACCATCTTAATAACAGATTCAATACAAATACACCACAAAACAAAGTACGCTAAATATTACAAATAATACTTAGATAAACTGTCAAAAAACGAAAACAACATTTACGCTCAACCGACCCTAACTCGTCCCGCCTTCTTCCAAAATATATTATTAAATTAGTAAAAAATTATTTCAACACTTAGCCAAACAGACATTGCAGAAATCAAAAATAAAGCGACAGCAGCGTTAATCAGCGAACTCAAAGTGAGTCTCAACCAGCAACAGTATTCCGAAAAAAGTGCTCACCAAACTTCAAGTTCATGAAACAAAACCAAGAAAATATGCAGAAAAAATAATCAATACACTTTGCATCCACCCTTCCAAACAGTCAAGTTTTATCAGCTCACTGTTCACCACTAAATAAACCAAGTTTTTCGTTGTATTAAGAAAAAATATTTTCGAAACGATTAGTCAGCAAGAAGAGTCAAAAACAAAAAAAAAAAAAA